GTAGAAAACATGCAAAAAAGACTAAAGCTAATCTTATGGGGAAAATATTAAAAGTGGTTTGGTCACTTTCATGAAACGAGGCACTTTGTTTATGTTTTTTTTTTTTTTTTTTTTTTTTTTTTTTTTTTTTTGGTTTTTTGTTTTATTCGAAATTTTTGAATTTATGCAATTTGTCCCTGTTGCCTTATTTTATTTATTAAAAACAATAAATAACGAAAAAATTCCTATTATCTTGAGTTACTTACCCAGCATTTACCCAAACTAGGTCTCCAGGCTTCTGAATGAACCGGTAGACTGGAATATTTTCTTTATATAAATCTTCTAAAACAGGCCACCACGAGCCGTGTAAATAGCTGATATTGTTTTTTTCACAAAGATTATGGATGCCACCCCAATAAGAATCTGGGACAGCAAACCATTCACAGTCTCCTGGACCAATGTTTATATTTATTGAGCAAAAATTATTATTTTCTTGATGCCCAGGTGTTCTACTTCCAGGCACTTTCATATATAATTGCACAGTATTCATTCCCAAAATGACGTGACCTACATGAGACAACATATTGGCAGCAGAAATTACTCTAGCAAAAGCAGGCAACTTTTGTAATTCGCTTAATTGCGGTTTCCATTTTCGTTCATCAGAAAGATCAACATTGGTTCCGAACCTATTAAACAAAAATAAAATATTAGCATCCGCAAAAATTATTTTTTAAATATTATTTTTGTGTTACCTTAGCATTTTACTACCGTTTTTGTTTTTTTTACGTTTTAAATTAATATTCGAATTGGATACTGAGTCCTTCGAATCGGAATCCGACATCACTTGGGATCCAACTGAGCCTTTGTCGCCTTCATCCTTAATTTTCATGATTATTATTAATTTTCAATGCTCAAAACAATGTGATGCTAAATTTATTACCTTTAAGCTGTCTTGAAAGCTTGATGCCTGATATTGAGCATATTTTGCTATAGTTGTATGAGATCGATGAGATATACAAGCCCAAACTCGCTTTGCTTGAGATATATCCCAGTTTTCATCAGGAGACTGATTCACTTGGGTTCTGACTTCAACGCTGTGATCCGGGTTAGCTTCGACCAGGGTTTTAGTTGAAAAGAGTCCCAAATCTAATTTAAGAGCGCCAGCTAGTCCACGTACAACTGCAATAGGATGCTTTAGACAAAACTCCTGCAACTGTGGACTAAAAGCATTTTTTTTATTTTCCAAGTGGACCGACGGCGTTGGTGGTAAGAGCTGTTCCCTTGAAAGTTTCTGTGGCGGACAATCCGGTGGCGTTGGCGGAGGGGAATTTCTCAAAAAAACAGTAAAATTGATTGGTGGCTCATGAACCGGTAAAAGCTGTACTGCAGACCATAATTGCTTAGATTCCATGTGTATATTGAATTTTGGTGATATATCGGGATTAAGATCATATTCATTTTTAGTCTTCTGTTCAATAATATAACTATCATCATTGCTTTGTGTTGAGCTTTCATGCTTAACAGAGTTTTTGCTATTATCGAAATAACTTTGGTTAAAGTCTTTAATTAATTCCGAAGAGTTTTGACTGCATGTAGTAATCGACCGACCTAGTAAGCATATACAAAATGTAGGTTTAATTAATAATACTATTTTTTGCCACTTAAGATAGAAAATGAGTTTTCTGCCATTAGGCAGAATTTGCATTGACAAAATTTTTATTGTAGATATTCATGTATTATTCTTACACATACCTAATGAAACCTGATTGTTTGAAGAAAAATGTTCCAAATCAGTTGATTCTTCTTTAATAATATTAGTTGATGATGCATCAGAAGAATACGTATTTATTCTTCCAGATGAAACATCACTTCCAGGTGTTGCTGATGAAGACATTATGTTAAGAGGATGACAGTTTGAAGCGGTTAGCTGTAGTCCAAGTTTGTCTTGCTGCACACTAAATATTTTTTTATTTTGTTGTGAGAATTGTGTATTAGTTTCTAATTTCTCTGATCTATTAATCGTCGACATTTCAGTATCATCATCTTTTGCTCGTTTTGCGGGTGTTGGATTGGTTTGACTTCCATAATTATGTGGGTAGGGTGGCGGCGGCCCCTATATAAATAAAACGTTTGAAAAATATTCTCAATTATAAAGAAGAATAAAGTAAAAGAATTATTTCCAAATTGTAAAATTAAACGAGTAAGATGCTCTAGTCGAGACTACTTCACTAGGAGATACCTTGAAGCCCGCAAAGACCAAATATTCTAATCACTCTGAACTTATTTTAAAGACACATACACAAACACATGCATGCGCACGTATAAGCAAGCAAGAAGCAACTGCGCCTGCGCTGCGGTGCACTGTGGGCAATATTATCAAAATATATGTATTGAATAACTTGTAGTGGGACTATCTATATAAACATACACTAGTCGGCATAATTATTTTGACGAAAAAATTTTCGCTTACTTTGAGCATAACTTTTTAACGGATTCATTTAGAATTTATTATTTATTTTTCATAATAAACAAAAATAAGTATATTCATAGATACTTAAAAGATACTTATTAAATTTAAATTTGGGGCATGACAGTATTTTGACAAGAATGTAATACTAAGAAAAAGAAGTTTGAACTGAACAGAAGTAAAACAATGAAGACAAGTTTTTTTAATCAAATGCATATCTCTTTAGCCTTCAACAAAATTTTGGTCAGGTCGCGGACCTGACTCCACTAAATTTTGCAAAATATCATAACATATCCCGTATCAATGGAAAGTGTCCTCAGAAATTGCTTCTTCTTTGGTTTTCTTTAACCAAATTGTTATTTTGCGTTCAATAGACTCTAGTAGTCTTTTGTATTTAATTATGGATTTATAGGGAGCTAGATCAAAGGAGTAATAGCAATGTCCTTAACAAAGCTGAATATCACCCAAGCTATCATGGCAAAGAACATTATCCTGCTACTGGAAAAATTATTTTCCGATATAACTATAGTCAGATTGAAAGCCATTATTATTTAGGATACCCAAATATTGGCCCTATTTCATTGAATCAGTGATAATGATGAAAAAAATGTTTTTGATATGCGTTATACTACAAGAATCTGTTATCTGTCCATAAATCAGTTCTCCACAGCTTCCTTGACTTATGCACTTATTCCTTACTAAAGACCTGTCTTTTAAGCTTGCCTTAGACTTAATGAGCGACACGTCCTTACTCCTACTTGTCCTAAGCTTAACTTTCATTTATTTATATCAACGTCAACACAGTACGTTCTCAGATTATGTTATTATCCGTCAAATTGATAAAAATTGCAGCATTTTGAGGTCTCAGAAAAACATTTCTCCAGCATCCCGTAAAAGGATTCTACCTGTTATGGCAATATTTTCTGTTTGGCAGCTGCAGTCGAAGATTTATAGGTCAATATGCATTTTAAACATATTAATTTGATAGAACAGAGCTTGACATTAGCTTAAATTCATTTGTAGAGCGTTTTGTAGCCGTGCTAGGTTTAAAAATTGCGGCTCTGGTATTCAGTATCAAATATTAGGAGTGGAATTATAAAGTTGTTCAATATTATTCAGGGATATGGTTGGCCAAGCGTGTTCAGTACCTTCGATTAACTCTGTCTTT